GTAAGAACTACTAGATCCATTTCCTTCCATTTTCGTTAAAGTAACCCTGGGCTTCATATTCAAGAAGACGCGGATACTACACTCGCAGCCTGCTTTGTGATGCCATAAAACAAGCAATGTTCGGCAATATGACGGTCACTGAGGCAGCTAGATATTACAAAATACCGCGGACAACCATACAAAAGCATGTCAGGTTGGAATCCATACTTGAAATAGCTGGTGAGATTTTTGAGTGTGAATTTAGCAAGGCCCGTGAACAGCATTTACTGAAGGAGCATTACATCCGCCAGATGGCAGCAGCACGAAGACACCATGAGCAGCTTGGAGAACGAGAGTGCCGTTTGATAGACTCACCTTTATGTTATATCCCTAATAACCAGGTAAATTGTATGTTGGTCTACTCAGTCTTAAGTTTTCTTTTTCGAATCACTAAATAGTTTTCTGTAAGTTCATGTTTATTGCGTTTTCTTGCGCATACACTTTCCGCTTGATATAGGTAGGTAGATGAAGGTGAATTATTTGCGCAGCAGATAATCATTTTTTATCATCAGAGCTATCAATTTTGCATAAGCATTCATGGGCGGCCGCCCTTGACTGGGAATAGTTTTTACTTCGATGCGTCAGTGACTGGTGGCGGAAAATCTCTATACCCTTGATTGTTGAGAAATTTTTTTTTCAAACATTCGACTTCTCTAAATTTTTTACAGTAAAGACTGGTGGAAGTTATGAACAGTGCATGGGTTTTTGATGAATTTTTTCAATAATTATATGCGTCTACAGAAAAAGAGCTTATTTTTATAGGATTCTTACCCCAGTGTGTCCCGCGCAAATGGTTTTTCTGTACATTGGAGGCAGCAACCAGTGAGCATAGATACGTCGTCGACATCTTTTGACGAAGTGCAGTGTTCTCCTGAGGATGAAATGATGATAGCTGAGCAGTGTGAGGTTAGTTTATTTGTTACTGCTGCTGACGTTTTTATTCTTGTTGATATTCTTCCTTCGGGTTCGCCATAAATCAATTTCTTATTAAAACAGAAGTCTAGCAATTGAATGTCTTTCCTGTTCTTGATTCTAACAATTTGCTTTGTTTTTCTTTCAAGCTTAAAGCTGTATAATTTGACTAGCGCTCAAATAATTGCAAATGTCTTATTATTTCTTGTTACATTCAACTTTTGTAAATTTTGCCCTTTATATTTTCTGTTGGTCCCAAAGTTCTGTTCCATTCCACTTTTCCAAAAAGATTGAGCAGGCAACTAGAACAATCCTCTTCAACTAAAATTTTTTTGCTTTCCTGATATTGAGTGCGTTAGAGACGGAGGCATTCCTTCATAGGCTGCTCGTTATTACAGCTCATATCTTGCATGTGATTTTCTAAGAACAGTTGACAGTATTGTGTACATGCACTTCAGATACAATCAAGCATGATTTACTTTGAAGTTTTATCACATTATGATGACTCGACTATGTGCGCATAGGTACTCTAATACGAAATTGATCCTGGAAAGTCTGGTCTGTTATTGGAAGTATCTGTTTCTTTCGCGATGCCTTCTACATTTGACCACCTGCAAATCTCTACGGAAAAAATATAAGTATCACAGCACTCAAAATTAATTTGGATTTTGAAAATTTAGGCGTTTTGGACTTATCAGCAAGTCACAAGGGTACCTCTAATCATCTCAGCTCTTCGTCCTCTTTCAAGCTTTGTTTCCTATCTATCTTCTCTCGTGCCCATTCAGATTAGTAAGCGGTTTTTCCTTTGGAACTGAATTTTTGTCATCAAAGTAAGCGAGCGGTGTTGGTCTGATCTGGCCACATCAATTTTTTTGGGAATATAAATCCCAGTTTGTGTAATATAAAAGTTGGTACACTGCAGAATCAGTTTTCGTTCTATTATCGAATC